AATTTTGAAACAGGCTTATCAAAAGATATTCTAAATTGAGATTGTGCCGGACTAAATGTGCCCAGGAAACAACCCCGTGTCAATTATTCGGGCTTCTCGACCACCCCACCCCATTCATGGCATCCAACAGTCTAGACGAAACCACCGTCAACCGGGCGGCCTCGTAGAGAGAGCTAAAGTAACTGTTTTTAGTCTTTTAAATACATCTTTTGACGAAAGTGCTGGGAGTAATTTAAATTACTCGTCAAATATGACGATCTAGGGCTTTCTTGGAAAGATCGGATACCACTAAATTTCGTTACTCTATTACCGAAAGTGGTCCGAGTACCCCTTTGTGCTCGAAAACAATTTTCGTTACAAACGACCGCTAATTAACATTAACCGATACGTTGCGACATCGTAGCCGTTGCGAACCTGCCAAGTTTGGCCAATGCAAGAGCTCATAGTGCCTGATAGGTAGGCAACATCTTGCCTGCAGGACAGGCGTGTACCGCGGGCTGGCCTACCCCGAGTCTCGCAGGCGCCGAGCTCCCCGTCACTTGCTGCATGCAATCTCAAAGAAAGAAAAAAAAACGGACATACTTTCTGGACGACCCCTAAGCCTTATTGCAGCCTCCTCCAGCTGTCGCCCCCAGACTCGCTCCAGCCGACAGTCCAGACGATACAAACCGTGAGCCCGGCACAGCGCGGCCTCCAGATCACCCCCTCTGCCGCCCTCCTCCGGGACCCGCTTCCAGATCAAACACGTCCTAATCCCGCCGGAGCCCTGATGGGGCCCCCGCAATGTTGATACAGCCAAGTCGCTGCCCTCGCCGTGTCAACCGAGGTGAAGGCGGGGCGAGGCGGGGTGAGGCAGAGCGGGGCGAGGCGGGGCGGGGCGAGGCGGGGCGGGGCGAGGCGGGGCGTGGCGGCGACAGCCCTCCCGGGCGAATCGACCGCGGTGCACGCAGGTCAACACTACACGGTGGCGGGGGTGTCGCACTACTTGGGGTCCGCCAGCCTGCGGCACCGCCAGGATGTGGGACATGGCGGCTCTGCTGCTCACATTCGACGACACGACCAGCTAAGTCCTCCTTCCTCCCCTCTGCTAGGAAACACGATGGCCATCTGGAAGTGGCGACGCACCACCCATCCACCAGGAGCCCTACGATCGAGGAAAGCAAGCCGACGGCGTACGCGTTCCTCGCCGACTTCCCGGTCGTTACCGACTATCTGGCCATAGTGCGCAGTACTGGCCGAGGTCGAGCTCATAGGTGTCGTCTCCCGAAACCTATCCTAGCTCTAGATATTTTCCTTGTCGAAGGTCCTCCTCAGAAGATACTACGACCGTAGTACTATGGGTCCGGACTAAAGTCCTGCAAAAAGACTTGTAAAAGATATTCAGGTTCGTGAGGGAGTCCTGGAGGAGGGCGTTTTGATAGGGGCCCAAGAAGGGGACAATATCTCAGAAAGAGTTACAAAACCAAAAGAAGTCGTCAGTGATGCCACGGACTCATTGGCACCTCCAAGATGCGCCCCTCTTCGGCGTCAGAAAGGCGTTTACCGTCCTGAGAAAGTAGTGTAACAGGACCCGCACTACTTGTGGAAGCTCCTTAGACACCCCCCCCCCCCCCCCCGCCATCGATACGCGTCCAATCCTCTCCGCGGCTGAACGCTGTGCCCAGGATGAGTCTCTTTACCTCGTGGCAGCCATGGCGCTGGCTGCTGCGGGGCAGCTGGTGCAGCCGGGGCAGCTGGTGCAGCTGATGCAGCTGGTGCGGGGCGCGGGTGCAGCTGGGCGGGGCGCTGGCACACTGTCGCGGCGCGGGGCGGCGCGGGGCAGCGCGGGGGCGTGGCAGGCGCGACGCGGTGGCCAGGGCGTTTGGGGCGCGACTGGGGCGGCCTCCCCTCCGACAAACTCACCCCCCGCCC